GCCGCCACTGAGATTACTTGGGGACTGAGTGAGCCCCGCAGTAAGTGGCCGAGAGGCCCAGGTGCAGCTCCCGCCGGGCGCGCTCGATCACACGCAACATCTTGAGCTCGGTCTCCAGGTTGAGGCCATAGCCGCTCTTGCACTCCACCAGCGTGGTGCCAGCCCTCATCATGCACTGCAGCCGCTCCTGGAAGGAGCAGAACAGTTCCTCCTCCGAGGCTTGGCGAGTGCGCTCCACGGTGAAGTTGATCCCTCCTCCGGCCTGGTGAATGTCCATGTACGTAGCCCCTGCCAACTGAACGCATGGCTCACTCAGAGAGGTTACAAGCAGATCTACCGATCCTACCTCCAGGGGTGATGTTAGAAGATGATTTAGGGGTTCGGCAGTAAAGAACAGGTGCTGCTGTTGCAAAGGATTGGGGTTAAATTCCCAGCATCCACATGGCAGCTCACAATCACCTGTAACTCCAGCTCCAGGGGAATCTCTCTCTCTCTCTCTCTCTCTCTCTCTCTCTCTCTCTCTCTCTCCCTCCTTTCCTCTTTCTTCTCCCTCCCCCTCCCCCACCCCCCCACCCCACACAAATAAATAAAAATAAAGATAAGATAAAAATCAATTTTACAAGATGGTTAAGAAGCAGCTAGGCATGATGGATTAATTAATACCAGCCCTCAGGAAGTAGAGGCAGGGGGATCAAAAGCTAAGGACCTATTTCAGCTATATAGGGAGCTACAGGTCAGCCTGGGCTACATCAGACCTTATTTCAATCAATTAGTTTAAGAAGCAATAGGGCACAGGCACTAACAGCCAGATCAAAAAGAGGAGCACCCCCCCACCCCCACCCCCGCCTCGCAGGTGTGCAGAAGGGAATCCCAAAGAGTACTTGAGAGGTGGAGATGGGCGATGAGGTGGGTGCACAAATGGGCAGCAGAAGGCAGTAACAACTAATTAACACTCAGATATAGGAGTCTTTCAGTGTTTTAACAGTGAAGTTGGCCCCAGTGCAAAACCAGCCAAGTGTTAACTCATTCCACAGCCTTCAACATGGTTGAGAAAATAAAGCTTAGGGAGTTATTCTGCTTAGGGAGGACTCCATGTCATTTGGGTACCAGAGTTTGGAGCCTAATTTCTGTCGCTCAAGCAAATAAACCCCAGCAGTCACTACTTACTTAAGTGGACAGTAGGAAATGTGGTCCACACCAAGCCCTCCTCTGGCCCCACCATCCCCGGCTAGTCTACACCCTCCCTTCCCAGACATCAGTTTCTCCATCATAGTGTAACAGCTTTTGGGCCACAATCTCTAAAGTGGCTTCTAGCTCTGAAATTCAGTGCAATAATAAAATTGCCATAAAAGCAGTTCCGATTTGTTGAGGAAGGCACATGATAGTCGGAGAAAAGGATTCTTCTCCAGTTTTCCAAACTAATTTGTCACCGCTAAGCTGTGTGGGTTTTTTTTTCCCCTTTACCAATGTGATAACAGTTCCATTTAGGAGCTAGCTATGGCTCCTGTAACTGATACAACTATATTTTATATTCTGAGGGTAACAAAAGAAAATAATGTAAGACTTTTTTTGGTTAGCAATATATTTTTTTCAAGTTCATCTGCAGTAAATCCCACAGTGATTTTCAAACTATTTCTTGAAACTAGTTCCAAACTACAAATAATGATTTTTTAATAAGGGGGGGATAGCCACCAAGTTGCTGAGCTATGTTCTTTAAAAAAATGTCAATAGTTGAAAATCTTCAGATACTCCTTTTCTTAAACTGGTTGCTAGCTCTCTACACGTCATATAAAGATTTGGGGTAGTTTCAATTAAATCTACTTAATGCCCTTTGTGTTCTTTATTGAGACAAATAAAAACATTCATTAAAAAGATAACACAGCATAGGTTGATCACTTATTCAGTCATTAGAAGGGACACCCTGTTGGTGCTTTATTGAGTTACTGTCATTCTTTTTGCAGTTACCTTCATTGCAAACTCATGGACTCTTTCACCAGCCCACACAGGATGCGTGTGTGCGTCCACCAAACCTTCGAAGGAAGTTGAGAAAGGGAAGATAGTTAGATAGTACACCTGATTGTATCACAGTGCTTGGGGAGCATGGTGGTGACCATCCCGATTGGAGGAGGGTGAGAGTGCAACACTTGTGAGGTTCCCTCTATGTGGCCAATCTAGAAAGTTCTAATAGAGGAGAGTAACTCAACACCACACAAATGTCCCTCAGAGATACCCAGCTTGCTCTTTCAGTAACTGTTCTCACCCCAAACAAACCTTGAAGCCAGGGTGGCAAAACTATTAATTGAACAAAACTGAGAACAAGGACTAAAAACTACACACCATGCTGCTTTGAGAAGGAACTAACTATAAGGAAGTAGCTTCAAGAAATACTTAAAGAGAATCTGTGATTACTTTACAAGGATGCAACAGGAAATCACATTAGCAAAGCAGAACTTCAATACTTGGAGCCCCGGATACTTCTGAATGCTGTGGTTAAGACAGGGAAAAAAAAAAAAAAAAAAAACTGATTTTCTTTTTTCCTTTTTTTTGTCCTAGAGCCACTGTTAAAATCCTTTTCAGAGTTTTATGAAGAGTGTCAGTACCCGGTAAGATGCATTTCCCAGAGCAGTCAATTCTTTCTTCAAAAGTTTCTCCAGAAAACTGTCTTTGGATAACATCAGCAGGGCCAATAGCTTTTATAAACCCATCACTAGAGAAAAACAACAACAACAACAAAACAAGAAATAGTTACTCAGTTTGGGGAAATTCTTTTTGAAAAATCTGATCAGTGATTTAAATGTGCTTTTGGATGCCTTGATGTTAGCCAGCGTTTACTGTATTTCCCTCTTGACCTGGGTCTTTAGGAAAGAGATGGTGGCTGCTGTGAAGACAAAGGTAAGGTCAAGCCATGTAGAAAAGATTGCGGTTTCTTCTCTAAGCTCAGTGTTCCACCATCCCACAGTATGAGACCACTGAACACATAACTCCTCTGCCACCCAAGGCATGCCCAGTTGGCATGAAGCTGAATTAAGCAGTAGCCACAGGGCAAACAGCTTGACAAAGGACTCTGCAGAGAGAGGACTGTTGAAGCACACAGCTTCAGGAGTGTTGCTGTGTTTTCATGAGTTCAGCCCTAAGATGGAGATTCCTGTCTACATCAGCTTATGTAGGAGGATGCCGAGAGCACGGAGTTCTCTTCATAACCACATTAACCATATGGCTCTCCACCTTCTAAGAACGTGGGCTGTCATGTAGCAGCAGTTACTAGTGTCGTGTTTGAACAGAACATACATCCAACAACATAGTTATTAAAGGAAGCTAGAAATCATCTTCCAAAAGTGTTAGGGTTTTGTTGTTGTTGTTGTCCCTTTAGTAGCCATTAAACACTCTTAGCTGAATTTTGAGATTTGACCATTTACTGCTAAGTGGGGGAAAAAACTACAAAATAATGTACATGCATCCCTTCTCTTTAAAAGGTATGGGTGTTTGTGTATTTTACTTGCTTCAGAAGTGTTTAAAAGGTGTTTAAACTACTTGTTAGCATTAGTTCCCTAATGCAGGGTTTGAGTGACTTCGAAGGTCAGCTGGTGTGTGTGTGTGTGTCTGTGTCTGTGTCTGTGTCTGTGTCTGTGTGTCTCTGTCTCTGTGTGTGTGTGTGTCTGTGTGTGTGTGTTAATACAAGGTCTCATTTGACTGTCATAGAACTCATTCTATAAATCAGGCTGACTTTAAATCATCTGCCTCTGTCTCCAGAGTACTGGTGTTAAAGGCATGTGCCACTATGCCCGACTACATAATGCACACAACAGGTACTTTTTGTTTGGGGGGGGGAGAGTGGGGAGAAAGATGGGATGTTACTGTTATTTAAAATTAGTTGTTTATTTTTGGAGACAGGGGTCTCATTCGAAAACTCGACAAGCAGCCAAGAATGGCCTTGAACTACTGACTTCCCCTTTTGTATCCTGAGTGTTGGGATTACAGACCTGGGCCAATATCCTGAGTTTTAGGGAGAAAAAGTTTTCTAGATTCTTCGGCCACGCAGGACTTTAGAAGCTATGGTGGCATCGATGATCATCGATGGAAGAAGCTATGAAGGTGTTTTGTTGGAGAAAGAGCTTCTAGCTCCGGGACCCCCCCCCCCAAGCCCCCCCCCTCCTCCCGGCCGCTCCCCACGTTCCCACAACCAAGCTGGCACCCTCCAGCACTGCCAGGCTGCGCAGCGCGGGCCCGGCCAGAAAGCGCTCGCCGTGAGCACACACCAGCACCACTTGCCGCGCGTTCTCCAGCAGGAGGCGGTGACCGTTCGCCATGGTCGTCCTAGCAGCTGGCCGGGTGCAGAGGACACTAGAGCCCTGCCTGCTGTGACTCCCGGGAGAGGCAGGACAGCGCGGGGCGGGAGCTCGCTGGCAGCGGTGGACAGTGACAGGAGCAGTGCCAACAAGAACGGCAGGAGCAAATGAGTGCAGGAGAGCTGTGCTAGAGAGGCGGCAGGGGCACGGGGCAGAGGGCTGACTGTGTCCGCGCGCGGCCTCCAAGCAGGGCTGCGGGTGCCACATACTGTTCGGTTGGCCAGTGGGACTCGGTTCCTGCTACCAGGCGGTCCCCAAAATGAAGGGGACCTGGGGCAGAAAAGGATGGAGCTGAGACACAGTGTCTGTTTGGCGCCTCTGTCTGCTTTGTCCCTACTGCTTTCGTGAAGGATAGTTCTCAACTGTGATCCAAACTCCTTGAGGTAAAATCAGATTTGATCTGGGTATCTGCCATGCCCACTCCACTTGAGTCTGGTAGCCTCTACACAAGCTGCATTCAAGGTCGTTGACAGCATCCAGTTTGTTTAAGAAAGGCTGGCAGGCACCAGGATTTGTTCAGATTCGTTTTCTTTTTTTTAAAGTATTTTTAAATTTTTTGAGATTATAATTCCATAACTTCCCCCTTCCCTTTCTTCCTTCCAAACCTTCCATGTAACCCCCTTGTTCTCTTTCAAATTTATGACCTGTTTTATCTTGTCACATATTGGTATTCCTAAATACATAAATAATCTGTAAAATGTTACATGTATGTATATATTTTGGGAGCTTTTCCCTTTTTCTGTTTTTTTTTTGGGGGGGGTGGGATTTTTTTCTCTTCTTTTTTTATTAGTTCAAATTAGGAACAAGCTTGTTTCACATGCCAATCCGGGCAAGAGTGCATCCCTTCACGTGGGATGGGCCCTTTTTTCTTTTTTAAGATGAAGTCTCACACTATGGAGCCCTGGCTGTCCTGGAGTTCTCAGTATAGACAAGGTTAGCCTTTAGCTCAGAGATCCAACTGCCTTAACCATCACCTCTCTCTCTCTCTCTCTCTCTCTCTCTCTCTCTCTCTCTCTGCTGGCCTCAAACTCAGATCTACCTGCCTCAGCCTCTTGAGTGCTGGGATTAAAGGCACATACCACCAGCCTTATTTTATTTGGTTTCTATGGTACGTTTCATACAAAGACAGGAATGTTACTTTCCCTGCCCAGCAAACATTACAATAGAAAGAAAAAAATTGACAGAAATAATAATACACCATGAAAATAGGCTTATTTTGCAAAACACAAAACACAAAGGTTAATTTTGAGTCACCTTAAACCCATTATAAAACAGACAGCAAAATGTCTTTAGATGAACAGATGAGAAATAAATATCCTTTAGCTCCACTCCATGACCTGCAATAAAAGAGAGATGGGGTAGAAAAACAAAAATAAAGAAGTTAGAAAATACATAGACAATGTGAGGGAAAGACCCAAAGGCTACTCACCATGTAGAAACACAAACCTCCATGATGTGAAAAGGAAAAGAAAAAGGAAGGAAGGAAGGAAGGAAGGAAGGAAGGAAGGAAGGAAGGGAGGGAGGGAGACAGAGAGAGAAAGAAAGAAAGAAAGAAAGAAAGAAAGAAAGAAAGAAAGAAAGAGAGAAAGAAAGGAAGGAAGAAAGAAAGAAAGAAAGAAAGAAAGAAAGAAAGAAAGAAAGAAAGAGAAACTAGTTAGGTGTGGTGGTGCACATCTTTAGCACCAGTATTCAGAAGGCAGAGGTAGGTAGAACTCTGTGAATTTGAAGCCAGCCTGGTCTACATAGTGAGACAATGTCTAAAATAGAAAGAAAAGAAAAATGAAGCAAAGGGGGAAGAAGGGAAAAAGTAGAATTAGCGGAGAATAGAATCAAAGTTACTTATGCATAGAGAATTATTGAATTTTCATATTATAAAGTTTTCGTCAGCCTAACACATGTGGCAGGCAAACACACATTGGCAGATTTAGGCAGCCTCAGATATAAAGGAAGGGTTCAAATTGGGGTTCAACAAGTGTGCCTTGCTCCTACTTCTATTATTTCTCATCTGAGCTGACCACAGGAAATCTATTTAAAATTCCCCAAGGCACAGTTTTCTTACCTTATATATAGGCATACTTGTTCATATTTTATGGATTTTTTTGACCTTCAGAAAATATGTAAGTTACTTGGGCCAACACTCATGTATAAATAAGTTGTGGCCATTCCAGTTGTGATTAGTTTATTTTAATGCTGTTTTCCTTGATTGTCAGTTAAGAATTAGACTTTAGGCTATAGTACAGTTTCTCCCCTGGCTTCACAGACCAAACCATGTACTATGCCTATGGTTTGTGTATTCCAGGGAAGCATAAAAAGAAATTATATTGCTTTTCCATGGGTGTTTATTTATATCAGTTAGTGGCTTGAACATAGCTGATTAATCATTCAAGCAGGCATTGCTTGAGAGGCATCTGCAAACAGAGGGTTTGTAGCTTAAGAAACAAAAAACTGAGCATTGGAAAGACTCAGTTGTTCAGGCCCTCACTATTCTAAAGAAGCCAAGTTCAGTTCCCAGAACCCACATCAGCTGCTCACAACTGCCTCTAACTCCAGCTCATCCAAGGTCTAGATCAAAGACACGTCTTCTGGCCTCAAGATCCGCATCATACATGTGCCCTCCATCCAAGAATAGCCATCACACACCCTCTACAGACACCGCACTCATGTGAGCACGTGTGCGCGGGCACACACACACACACACACACACACACACACACACACACACACACACACACACACGCGCGCGCATGCACACAAGTACACTCACACCATTTAAAACTATTTTAGCAGTGCATTGGTGCCGCACGCCTTTAATCCCAGCACTCTGGAGGCAGAGGCAGGTGGATCTCTGAGTTCCGGGACAGGCTCCAAAGCAATACAGAGAAACCTTGTCCTGAAAAACAAAAAACTATTTTAAAGCGTCAAAAATCTTAGTGTTAACCAGCAGCCCCATTGCACTCTCTTTACAAAGCTGCTATCACATCAGCTGTGTCACGTGGGGACTCCCTTCTACTAGCCTTCCTTCCACTTGACCCTTGACCCTTTAGTTATATTTCTCAGTTTGCCAAAGGGGCCATCAGAAACGTCAACAGAAAAGTCCAGCAGAGCAAAGAGGTCAAGCTGCCAGGCATTTCCTCATCCTCATCTGAGGTTCTGACCTAATTAAAATAGGCAGGTCCTAGAGTAGGCCAAGGACCCAGGGGTTCCTGGCTTCTAGGTAAACAACAAACTGCTGGCTCAGATATATCCACACCATTGGAGACCACAGCTCATAGCTCTTCCTCCTAGTATTTTTCCATGGTGGGTGGGGAGGAGGTGAGGAGAAAAGGGGAAGGCATTCGGTCAAGGAGAATTACATGGATGTGGGAGACACTGTGTGTGTGTGTGTGTGTGTGTGTGTGTGTGTGTGTGTGTGTGTGTACATGTATGCATGTGTGTGTGTGTACACATATATGTGTATATATGCTTATATATGATCTTATATGTACATAAAGTCTCCCACTAAGGGGATCTGAAAACTCATTCTCACTGAGCTATAGGCATAGGGTTATGAAAGCTGGATACAAATTGCTTCCAGCAGTGGGTATCTGGTAATGAGTGTTCTAGCTAATTGTATTTAAAATTAGTTCAGTCTATGAGTAGACCTATGAAACTAGCTTTCACTTCCCCGGAGTCCTAAAAGAAGAGAATCTGCACCTCTGAAAAACGATGGCTCCTAGACACACTCCACAGTTGTAAGCTGCGGGTGTTTCTGAGCTTTTGGTGTTTTTCAGTGGTTCTTTAGAACAGTGGTTCTTAACCTTCCTAATGAATCGACTCCTTAATACATTTCCTCGTGTTGTGGTGGCCCCCCACCATACAACTGTTTTCATTGCTACTTCATTATAATGAGAAGTTACAGGTTATGATATCTTTATTTAAATAATACTGGCCAAGCACAAGCCAGAACATGCCCAGAGGCAGCAAGCTAGGGAAGCCAGAGAGAAGGGGTCCCCACGTGTCTGCAGCCCCCTTAAGAACTCTCCACTCGACACCCTGAACCTCCCCTGACCACGCCCTGACAGATGTGGTCAAGCACACCTGTAGCTAGCTCCTAGGAAGCATGGCTACAGTGTCTCCCTACACTTCATAACTAATTTTACTACTGTTCTGAATCATGTTTTCCAATGGTCTTAGGTGACCCCTGTGAAAGGGTCCTTTGACTACCCCCAGAAAGGGATTAAGAAGGTTGGGTATGAACTAAAGACAAGTGTTTCCAAGTATTTGTTTCTCAGTGCAGTCAGTTTTCTTGGCACAGAACTTTTGTTTAGCCACTGTGGTGTTTTCTTTTACACAGGACATTGCCTCTTCCTGGTTGGAGGTAGTTGGTTCTCTCCTACCTCCCTTTGTTCTTCCTCAGACCTCCTTAGTCACTCAGGAGATAAATCCAAAGGAAGGACGGACACATGAGGACTCCCAAAGACCATAGCATTTGTCACCAATTTTCATGTATTCAGGCGGAATTTTAAAAATCATTAACATGTTATTTATCTTCACAACTAAGTTATTTTCTCAAGATTTTTTGTTTTCACTTTTTAAAATTTATTTTATTGTTGGGCAATTCTTTAACAGCTGAAGTAAGTACCTCCCAATGTTAGTATTCAGGCATCTGTACTGGCCTGTCCTTGGGGTTCTAAGAGGATACACCCCTAGCTGCAGCCAGTAAGAGCATCATCTGTGTACATTCACTACTTTCCCTTTTTAAAGGGCCCTGCCTACCTCCCATCTTACTCTATCTTTCTCTCCCTCTGTGTTTGCTCTCTCTCTCCCCCTCCCTCCTCTCTTTCTCCCCTTCTTTCCTCTTTCCTCTCTCCTGCTGCTCCTGTCTCCAGAGGTTGGTCTCCCTCCTCCCCTTCCCCTTTTTATGATCCATTTCCCTAATAAAAAGCCTTCTGCTTGAACCCTGTTTATGGTCTTTCTCTCAT